GCAAATTCCTTTTGATAGACAATTGCTCTTTGTGTTGGTGAGCTAAACTACCGTTTTGGTTCAATTTGAATAGTTGCAAAAAGGCGAAGTATTTCCAGGTGATGTTTGGTGTAGTTCCTTGGGGACTGGGTGTGAGCCATTCACCAATGACGCAACATATCAGATATTCCTTTCATTCGTTTGGCCGCTTTCCTCTCGGGTACTAAAGAATCCTATTGGATTTAGTCGCTTTTTCTTTTCTTAAAGAATGTTATCAGATGCTTCGCGAGGCGTTAAATTGGCTATGAATATTATTGATTCCGCCAAACAATAAGCATATCACACGATTTTCAAATATTTTTGTTTTCCTTTCTGCGGAGTGTAAAGAAAGCCAACGATAAGTAATTGTTGCTTTTCTATATCGATTTATGCGCTGTTCTGCTTGAATCGTGCAACAGAATTATTGATAAGATAAAATGTAAGGGTGGTGAGAAAGTTCTGCAGACTTGTCGTGTGAAACGAAAAGTACATCTTCTAATAAGTACGAAAAGGAAAATTCTGTCCATCAATGAAAGGTACAATATTTCCAAATGCCGTCTGTATGGAATTCTGTATACCAGACCACTGCATTGGTTATCGAAACGTAGAAAACTAACTGTAGGTGTTCTGCATCGGTTTGTGCTGCTTCCTTCGTCATGAAAACAACATATTTCCAAATTTATCAAATGGAATAGGATCAACAGAAACTGAAAGAGGTGAGGTGGAATTTCTTCTTTTGAATGAAATCTTTCTAGGCCACTTTCAAAATTTTTGTCATTGGTATTGGAAAGATGCTTAAGATAGACAGGCCTTGATTTTATAGTGGGTGTTGTTCTTTGTTTAAAGCTTCTTTTCTGAAGTGCAGTGGTAGCTAACAGATCGGGCGGTGGATTCGAGGATGGATCAAGATTATGTAGTGGTGTGTGCCGTGGCTAAGCAGTACCTTGAATGGTCAATTTATCCAGGTCGCGCTATCTTCATATCTGCCAAAATAGATAAAAGATTATTGTAATATGCATATTGAAATTAGACTTTCAAAAATCTATTTTTAATGCGAGGCCAAATCTAAAGTTTTCCTTCATCCTCTGTTATCTCCTTCGCAGTTTAGATTTGCCCTCGCAGTAGCACGAATGCCTTGCGATGTTACAAAAAGGGACTTTGGGAAAGTCTCTATTGAAATCAGTCTGAATATTCATATTTTCTAGACAGTCAGGCCGCGAATTACGCCGTTTTAAAAATCTAGCTTTTCCAGGTTTTGGGGGGCTACAACCCGTTTGCCCTTGGATTTTTGTCGGGGCTACCACCCGTTTACCCCTGGGTTTGTGTCGGGGCTACAACCCTTTTACCCTTGGATTTGTGTTACGGCTAATCTCCTTTTACCATCAGATTTGTGTCCGGGATACCACCCTTTAACCATTGGATTTGTGTTACGGCTAACCTCCTTTTACCATCAGATTTGTGTCCGGGATACCACCCTTTAACCATTGGATTTGTGTCGGGCTACAACCCTTTTACCCTTGGATTCGTGTTACGGCTAACCTCCTTTTACCCTTGGATTTGTGTCGGGGATACCACCCTTTTACCCTTGAATTTGTGTGGGGGCTACAACCTGTTTACCCTTTGACTTGTGTCGGGGATACCAGCCTTTTACCATTGGATTGAAAACCAAGGACCAAATTTGCCTTTTGCATGAAATTTCCCCTTTGGCGTGAATGTAATATTTTGCAAAGCGAACAATAGTCGTTGATCGTATGAATAGCTCAGTCTCGGATTTGTAAGTGCTTTTTGATTTCGGATCCTCGCGGGCCTTTTATTATAAAGGAGTTTAACTCAAGTACAGCTCCCGAAGATTAGCTTCCAAGTAATCCGGAAATTTATTGAAAATTTTCCTAAACCTTTTTTGCCCTGCCTCCACCCTGTTACCCTCTCCGAAGACGCAACATGGCTACCTAGGAACCTAGGGCTATTGTTAACCTGGATGGATCAGTGGTTTGTTCTCTGCAGATCATAAACCTGTTTAAGAGAATCTAGTCGCATCATGTCTTGAAGTACTGTCTAATATTTTTATCCAGAGAGCCGACTGTCTGATTTCAACGGTTCTAAGGGAACAGACGGATTGTAAGGAGCACGATGCATTTTGTATAGCATTGCTCGCAATCAAGCCGTTTGTCAGTGAATGGAAAAATGAGCATCAACATGGTAATGAAAACACTGATTTTGAATTGTCATGTCACTTCTGATAATTGAAACACAATAAACGATCAGTCTGATCTTGTAAACATTTGATTGTAAAGCAGAAATCCAGGGCCTAACCGTCTGTAGAAGCATTCGAATGCCACGTGTTTTGTTAGGATACACCTGCGCCGCGAATGCGAAGGGGCATAAAAGAAGTTATGTACAGCTGAGCTTGACTACGTTGTTTTATTGTTGATGCAGATCACGGACAACCCTTGATTAATGTATTTTGTGGAATTGAGAGTGTCTTGAGATAGGCAAACACGTGGCATTTTGAAGAACGTAGACAGTTTGTAGACGTTTCTGGGAAACAACCTTGCAAAACATCTTGTCTGCTGCAGTTGCTTTTTGGAATGAGGCATTTCTGCCGCTGCTCTTTGCTGTAACAAGGCTTTCTAATATTTTCAAGGTAATTATTATGGTTTATTCTGCGTTTTTGCTTGAGAAAGAAAGAACCTAGCCTTGCCCTAAGTAACTCATTTTGTGTATGCATTTCCGTTGGCTATTGCTGCAAAAACCTCTGTCCGGGTAGACCCACATATTTCAGGGTTAACCCCACATATAAATAGGCAGTCTTTTCACTTTCCCCTCTGAAATAATTTTATATTGATTTAAGATATTAAGCATGAACATCTTCATTTCTATCAAACAGTTTTTGTAGTAGCCACGCTTGCAACAACGGTTGCAGGAAGGAAAGAAGAATTTCCAAAGTTATATATACTTACTTCTAAAACGTCTGTCTCAAGAGTAACAATTTTATTTGTTCTTTGGGCGTCTCATTACAGTGATGTGTTTAACGCTAGCCAATTTGTATTTTATCTTATAAATTACTATCTTCAAGATATGGCATCAGTTACTCCAATCGAAGCACTGCCATCTTAAGTCGAAAGTGATTGTTCTTTTTGCAATGTTGTGATGACCATTTAAAAAGGCAGAGGGTGATTTTAATACAACTAGAGAGATACTTTCTTCTGAATTGAGAGAAATTTCATTAAAGAATACGATGGCTGATCTAGCTTAAATCTTCCCCCGTTGTATTTAGACATGAATTAGATTCATAACAATGTGGGGAGCAGAATCATCGTATGCAGGTCGAAACACTTTGTTTAGATTAGCATTCTCAATCAGTGATTACTGAATGTTTTTACAAGACTATCTTTATCCTCTACTTTTGAATAGACCAATGCCATGCTGGAGTTGCAGCCCCGCAAAGGTATTGAAAATTCTCCGTAAGGACTAAGCGTGTTTCATTTGCTTTAGATAGCACAAAAGGCAGTCTTATATGGTAAGGATTAAGACGTAGAGTATATCGTTCTGTGTGTTTTAAAGGGGTTGATAAGAATAACGACATAATGTTTATGGTTGTGTGTAGCTGTCGCTCTTTTCCAATACCCCCATCTGGTACTCCGAAAATAGTAACCACAAAAGCCTGACTAGAAACGGGCCACCTATCCTTGGTACCGGAGCCACAAAGATTTGAGAGCGGAAAAAAGAAAATAGAAGTGCAGAAGCGGATGAGCGTGTATCAGAGAAGAAGGAAATGCTCCTCCGCTTCTATGCTTGGGATTCTGATAATTCGCTCGAAATTTTGTTGCTTTGGTACCCAGGGTACTGGCCTCTTTCCAGTTCCAGGGTGGAGCTGGGTTATTCGAAGTTGTCAAACAGAGGTAGACGTATTCTTCAAATTAAAACGGCTTCTTTCAGCGAGAACTGATATTCTAAAGGGGGGGAGGGGGCTTCATAGAAGGAAGGCTTTTCCAATTGTTTAAGGCTTAGGTATGTTAGAAATTCTTGACGAATTTGAAACTACATCCCGGGCAAAACTGAGATTTTTTAAAAAATATTGCACTTTCTAAAAACCCCTATCTCAGCCCCCCCCCCTCCATTTTAATATTAAAGCGGTTTGGGAGGGGGATGTGGCTATTTCTATTGCTATCATTTTTAATTCAATTTCAAAATATGCTTCTACAGAATTTTTGTCCAAGACTGCAGGCGAAATTTCCAGGATTTGATTTTTACTAGATTAGTGTTACCCAGCACTCCTCCCTCGGGGACCTACACAACGGGGTTAATATCCAACAGGATATTTTGAATGCTGAATAATATGCGGTCCTTTATTTTTCTGAGATGCTCATCAATTAATAACTTTGCGTTGTCAAGCAATGAATCAAATTTTGAATATTTTCTTTTTGGAGGAAAAATAGAATTTCCTGCCTCGCAAGATTTGAAAAATGCCATTGAGTTTTCTCTAAGAGCTTCTTTGTGATCAGTAGTAAAGCAATATATAGAAGGTGTGCTTCGACTGTTCCAGGCAATTATCCGTTGATTCAGGTTACCTCGTCTGTCAGGCACACTAATTGCTTGGCAAAGTCTGCAATATTGCTTCTGTGAAATACTTGAAAGGAAACTGGACGATTTTCATCCCGTACGCAAGCGTCGAACCTGTGCAAATACGGGCGACAGACTGACCTTTGTGTCCAGACCGATTTGTTTAGAGTTGGAATGAAGCGAACTTTGAGTCTTTTAGCGTTGGTTAGCAAATACTCGAGAATGGTCATATGCTCTGTTTGTTTGATTTGGCAAATAGACTCTGCTGACCTGTTTCTATCAAGCATTGAGGGAAGGTGATAAGGTCTTTAGATTAAGCAGCGTCGTGTTTTGCCGTTTTGTTGTAAGCGTGAGGAAGCGCGCAAGAGTACGGGTTCTTGGTTGGTCGATAAACATTGATATTTGGCGGTATGTTATAAATTAAATACTTGCGAATACTTTATTTCCTTTGTGCTATATCATGGATTAACGATTTTTTTGTTATTTTAAGGTTTGGTGCAGCCTTAGTAAGCCGACATGTATCATTTGAATAGGACATGCTAATTTGTCTTGGCCTAGATATTCTTTGCGAAGAATTCGCTCCCGTTCGAAGAAGCTTACTAGGAAAGTGATAATTGTTGTTATTCCCGCTTTCAAAATGCCAAGAATTTCATACATTAGCTTAAAATAAAGTGTTAAGTCTTTGCATTTAGCGGAGACAATCTTACCACTCATGAGATGTTCGAAATTCGCTACTTTTTCCAAAACATATTGTCCCAAATTTTAAAATGTCCCAAGCTTCAGTTTATGGGACAGACGAGATATTCACGTAAATACAAATTCTATCAAAATTCAAAGATTTCATTCATAACACAATTGCTTTCATTATTTTTTTACATATAAAATCTAGCCGTATAAAATCTATAAAACTGTTGATATAACAAAAAAATGAGACACGATGAGATATAATGATGGAATACAACAATATATGTTATAGGTTAAAAGTAGAGGGAAATATAGCTGAACTGAGAATAAGTTTAGCCACAAATGGTAAATCGAAAATACGAGTCTTAAACGAGATCTAATTTTGAGCCATGTGGGGCCTACCCTCCCCCGCATCTTCGAAAGCTTACGCGATTGGCCAACGAAGCCCAGTATTTACGCTAAGGGGGCATTGGTCTCGTAGTTTATCATACGCCCCTTTGCCTTGCCATCGTGTGTATAAAAGTTAGGGGGTTTTGAACAAATAATTTTAGTTTAGCATAGAATGCATCCATTTGTTAAATGTTAGAAAGAACAACTTGCTGTATACAGCAGAAACCCGCATAAAAGAACCTGTTTTTATAAGAACATCGAGGCTGAACCCCCAGGAGGCTGAAAATTGGAAAGGTTGTTATATGTATATATAAGGGTTTTTGGAGTAAATTAGGTTATGGCATGTTGCATTCTAATTGGACAATCTAACAACACAAATTCATTTGATTGGTTGAAATTTGACATAAAAAGAGCTGGTTTAAGTGTGTCCATTGGAATTCTTGCGGTGGAAAACATTGTTAATGTATACAAGGCCTGTACGTATATAAGAACCTTGTTAAGAACCTTTTAGATTGGAATTTAGAATAGCAGCCTGTTAATTAAGAAATTTATTCAATCTGCCAGACAAAACCCTAGGTTCTTTTATGCGAGCTTCTACTGTAGTAAAGATCAGCTTGAGAGCAACGACTTCTTCTTTCTTCAACCCAACTGCCCTATACCATGTTACAGCTCCAGTTATTTTCTGGCATCAAATCCTCCTTTCATATGCCGTATTTCAGTGTTTTTTTATCAATTAATACATAACAAAGCTTTTCAAAATATTATTATAGCAATGACAAACCAAGCGTTTTTTGAAGATGCCAGAAAATCAATAAGGCACGTGTGCAATTTATTCTAAATTTGAAACGAATCGCGTTCCCATTTTAAATTTCTAAACCTGCATTATAAACATCCCTTTATAGATTGTTTAATATATCATAAGTTCTTTTTGACGCGGTTTCTTCAAAGCATCGACTAGCGATTTGACCTCGGAGCTCCGTGTCATAAGCTGACGATCAGATATTGATCAGCCAATCCTTGATCCACATTTCATGTCGCATTATCATCTAATCGGCAATGTTTTCGTTATTACAAGCAAAGAGAAATACCTCAAAGTGATAATTATTCATAAAAGTGGATTACCCCGCTTTTTTTAATTGTCATCAGCGATTTAAATTGATCGGATTTTAGAGCAATTTTTAAGCATAGCTTTTCATTGCACTTGATTGCACCACATCGTCTTCAATTTTTATTTGTAAAATGTTATCTCCCTAAAAGAATTTTCCTCCGAATCACTTCTTATCTGAAACTCAAAATTTTTAAACGGACGCTAAAACTTTTAAGAAAACTTCCAACTACACCCTTCTTTTATAAGAACCAGTAAATTTAAGTTCAGGCTGACTGTTCTTAATTTTTTCGAAAATCTGAGGCTGGATTGTTCTTAATTTGTTCTCAAATTAAGAGGGTGTAAGCAGTGCTATTGCTAGCTTTTTCGCTCTAAGGAGGTGTTCAGGCCTCATTTGCCAACAAAGTGAGTGAGACAGCCTTAATTTGCTGACAAATTTGAATATTCACCGAAAAAGCACCGACACATCGCTAAAAATCCTCGATTTTGAGAAAAAACGTTGTTCAAAATTGCATTTTGCAGAAGCTCAGCCTCAGCTTGTTCTTAATTTGTTCTTAACTTTTGACCAGTTTTGAGGCTCGTGTTCTTATAAAATTGTTCTTATAAAGGAAAAAGAGTGTATTTGGAAATTCAGAGAAAGTAAAGCCCTAACAAAGGAGAGAAAATCCACTTCCAGTTGCAGAGTTCATTTTTCCAACCTTTATCTGCATTAAGACTTCACGAAATGCTGAGTAGTAAACAATAAAAGACCCGTTACGCAGTCCTGCGGAACACCGGCTTTCTGGCCATTTGAATTTCAGTGACTATATTTTCAATGATTGTGTTTTGACGTATATAGGCCATTGATTGTGTTATCTCTGTTTGGTTATTCTTGGCTTGCTTCATGTTTTCAGAATAATTTAATTTGTAAAACGGCGAGGGAATTTTTATCTCCGGTTATTAAAATACCAACATTAATGAAGGCTGGACAGATGTGTCTTAGTATAAACACAGATTTGTCTGAAACACGCGACTCTCAATTGTTCCCGATTAGTACAATAAACTGTTTGTTTGACATTTTCATCTACGCAAAACTAGTTGGTTAGAACGCTTAATCCCACAAGATTTCCTATTTATCACATTTTGCAATAGAATTTGCGCTATGTCAGTTTTAAAGCACATGTACAAAGTGCTTCTCGGCCTACCTGCGCGTGCTAATTCAATTAGAATACTTTACATTCTTTCGTGCCCAGACCTCTTGTAGCGTCAGTATATACGGCTTCATCAGTAGCACTATTTAGCGCTTCATCAGTTATATGCTGCAATTGTACTTTATGAAATCAGTCCTTTTCCTATAAAACCAATCTCTGTTTGCCTGAACCTTCTGTAGCCTACATTTTTTATAATTTTCTATTTTCTATGTTTATGATTTTATTTCGATATTCAAATATCTGTTAAAAAAGTTTTAAGAAGAATCTCTCCTAATAGAACTTTGCTGGTCTAGGTCGTTAGAAATGAGGTTTGATATGAGCTCAATAATTTCAAACCCCTTATCCACAACCTGAGGCCACAGATAGACTTCTGATGTTCAGTTGAGATAATGTTTTTTGTTTGACCTGGGAACTATATACTGAATATCTTGTTAAAGACAAGCTTTTTGATGCTAGCAAATGAACACAGGCAGGATCCAGTTTGGGTTTGTGGCATTTGTACTCGAATAAGGGAAATCTGAGGCATTCTAATAGGCAAGGGGTTTGTCCCCTCATCTCAGAGTTTATTTGGTCCCTGCAGTGGTGTGGTTAAGGGGTGGGCTCGGGGGGCACAGTTTCCTTGTTTAATTAAAATAGATCAGGGACCGCGCACCACTCTAAAAGTGGAGGGGCTGAAATGGGTGTGACCGAAAAATGTTTATTGAATTTTTGAGCTCATATCGCCCTCTTGAACGCCGCCACGCCCTCTTGAACGCCGGAAAACGCCCCTTTTAGAAATACTCGCTTATTTCTATTGAATTTTTATTAACAGTCTTGCTCAGAAAAGATATTAATAACTATAAAACAGATAGAATTAGCTCGAGGGTAATAAATAACCAAGCTAACAAAGTTAGAAAATACATCATATCAATAAACAAGATGAAACACCTAGAAAAAGAACAAAAATGGTTCCCAGTCAATGAGAACTGCTACTACACAGGAGTAAACTATCCAAAGTTGCGTTAGAGTAAACCTTTGAAAAAATGTTCTAGCCTATTATTGCAAAAAAGTGGGTGGGCTATAGCCCCTGCTAGCCCAATGGCTGCGCGGTGCCTGAAATAGATTATAGGGGGCTCAGTCCGTGTTTGTTTGGTTTGGTGCATTCCTTACTGGGCAATGTGAATTAGCCCTTAATTATGCTATTTGCCTTCTAGAATCGATGAACAGTTTGAATGATTTCATGTACACAACAGAGAATCTTTAACACAACTGCAAATTTATAGGGTGTGACAATGGGTGTGGACTTGGGTGTGGCTTTTAAATGTTCTCTGCAGCACAGCCCTCCTTTCTTTATAGCTTTTAGGGCGGCACCCCTGTGCCTGTACTCGAGATTATCAGGCGCTTTCCATGCTTTGGGAGAAGTGACTGAAGACTTTCGTTTTATACTATTATTTGTTTTACTTATTAGCGTAACCACCCTTCCTCTCTTACATCCCTCAGCTCGACAAATGGGCAGAAATGAACGTTTTTTAGGCATAGAACGCCATCAGTAGGCATCGTGTTTAGTTTATATTGCATGAACGAGGCTAGTTCGCGCAAATTTGATTTGGGCAAATTATATTTCAAATGATTCTTTGTGCGATTAAATTATGGAGGTTGTAGTTGAACATATCCGTTTGCAAAACACGAGGCAGTCAGTTAATGTTGAAATATTATGTTGTTTCTCAATCATTTAGATGAGAGTTTTAAAAGATCGTTTATCTGATAAAAACTGTCAGATAAAAATTACACTTTATTATTCAAAAAAGATTTCAGCTGTCAAATCTAATAAAGCTTTATTTAATAAAAACTGTTTTATTCTAATAATTGTTACTCTTCAATCGCTTAGAAAGTTTATCCTTTTAACTGCCTGCTGGGTCACAACTGTACGAATTTGTGGTCAGTTTCTGTTTAAATTTTAAGACAAATCTTTTCTTAGATGCTTTATTCTAATCTTTCGTAGATTTTATCTTATCTTTGTTTTATACGCTTTGTGTTTTGAGACGTGTGGTTTATACAGTATTTTGTGTAGTTTGTAGCAGGTTCAGTCAAGACTTGTTAGTTGATGGTTTTAGTTGTCATGACGACCATAATCAATAATCATCATAAATTTTTTAATAATTATGATCATAATCAATCATGAAATCATCATAAATCATTGGTAGAGCCCGATCGTCATTCTATCTAGCAGTTTTATATTCTACATCACATACACCTGAAAATCGCTTTTGTGTAGGCAGACATTCTAAATTTTCAATTGGTAAAATTCTAAATAACAATAAAAAGCAAGCGGCACTGATTGGGCAATCTCAACAGCCATACCCTCGCATTTCAGATCGGCCTGCACTCGTCTTTCGATCCACGATTGGGTATATATATTTCCAAGCGTAGAGTTTTCGATCTACTTTATGTTCTGACGTTTTAAACTTTGAAGAGTGTCAGATGTTGGAATGTTTAGAAATGTTTTCTTTTTCCAAAACCATTTTTGAATGGATTGTTTACCACGAAAAGATTATTTATAATCAATCCTCATAGTCATAATCAATCTTCATCATTATCATCATCGTTACCACCTCATCCTTGTATATTCTCCGCCATTTGCATATTCTTCTTCTTTATTTTACAACAAATCATTTCATTAAACAAATCATTCAATTTCCTAACATCCGCTATCCCGCATGCGCTAGACTAAAACAAATTCAATTATGATTTTTTGATTCACGAAAATTGGGGAAATTTTCTGTAGAAAGGGCGCCTAGTTTGCAAAAATCTTTTAGTCTGGGAGAAGAAAGGTTGTGAAAGGATTTGGCCATGTTGCGACATAAACAACTGCGTGCAGTTGAACACAAGATTTTTGATCGAAACAGAGAACTCCTGTCGGGTCGATTCTTAAGTTACCTGCTGCCACATGCTCAACAAAACAATACCTTACTATTGCGGTAAAGAAACTTCGAATTTACAACGGATCTTTTTGATCAGCCTTGTATTCAACTTAACTATAGATATACTCTTTGCGGCCTAGGAACCGAACAGATAATCTGAAGATTTAATCCACAGATGTCCTTGCGCATTGCATTCTGATTTGTATTCTGGCTTCCTTCCGATTTGTAGTGGCTTCATTCCGATTTGTAGTGGCTTCTTTCTCGCTTGCTGCCTGGTTATATGCTAATTTCAACCACGTTTAACTGAGTGAAGATGCATAACACCACAAGATGAATATTTCAAATGCGGTAAGAATAAATTTCAAACTTCAGGAATCGTTTAGCTTGGTGATAGCTTCTCAAGTAATTCTGCCGCAACGTTCAACGAAGAAGTCAATTTATAGCTTCTTTTTTGGATATTTGATTTTCATCAACGCTATTTCCTCACATTGTTTTGGTTTTAAACCAAGTAATTGCCAAAAAGGTACTGATTATAATACAGAACTAATTCTAGTTGACATGTCTTGATGATGGGATGATTCACCTGCTAGAAATTCTTTCAGAAACTATTTTGTTTTGGTTTTATATCGTGTAGCCATTTTTAATCCAGAAGTTGTAGTGAATTTCATACTGCACGTAAACATTACTACTCTTTGAATTATACGCCAAAAAACGTAACCTAGCGTAGTTTTGTTGAAGAAAATTTGCCCACATCAAGTCTACAAAATTTCAAAAGGTACTTTGTAACATGAAAGTGCAACTTACGCAGCTGATGCAACTTCAGGGCTTCCAGTTGAAATAATATTTGTAGAAATTGTGTTTGTTATTTGCATAAAACTTAATGTTATTGTGTTAAATGCATCAACCTGAAGAAGCAGCCAGTAAAATCCAACCAATTGATCACATCAAGGTTCGGTCTTAATATAAGCCAGGCAAATTGCTTTGTGTCTTGTTTGTAGCCAAAAGGAGGAAATTTTGCGAGGGATGTTTCTTGTGTTATTATTTATATTCTCGACACCATTAATGAAGTTGATGGAAATTTTCTGTCTAACTTTCCTGTTTTGTAGCAGGTTAAGATACTTGTTTGTCCTCAAAGAGATATATCTGTAAGGATATAGGCCGTTTATTTTCTGGAAAACATCCAAACATGAAAAAGGCTTTCTTTCTGTATAAATCAACGAAGAGCTTAAACCTTAAAACAAATCAATTTTAGGAATACAGTTAAAACTTTGTTCTGCTGTTGATGATAATTGTTCTTGCTCCTGATCGTTACATGTTGGATATAACTTCTGTTATATATTATTTAACTCTATCTACCAGTACTATCACTATCTTGCATTTCAAAATCTACACTCATCATAAAAATTTGTCTGCATCACTCTTTAAAATAAGATATTATGCTTTTTTTAGTTCATTTCTCAACCTAAAATTTTTGTTAATTTTTCTTTAGCTTCTCTGTGTATTTTTGTATTGACCGAAGTCGTAGTCTTGTAGACTTATTGGAAAAATAATTGCTCTTCTTGTCTCTGTTTATTTGCATTCGATTGAAGAAATTCTTATTCGAAAGGAAAGCAAGGAATAGCTTGAATAAAAATTGAATCTTGTATCGGAAGGACAACAATATACCTATCTGGGAAGCTATTGTTTGATTGTAGACCAATAAGCAATTTGAATTAAAGTGGATCTAAATTGTGCTTGAAGTGTCAATTAACAAAATGTTCTTCTCGTGACAGGTCTTAGGCCTTTTCCCATGAATAAGTAATGCTGCTGCGAAGGCATTCACATGCAAACAATTGTATTGTAAAATTATAAAATCAATTAAATGCCAGCTTGAAATCATCTAATTGCGCAACTTATTCACGAATGTCAACTAACACTAAACTCCATCAGATCCTTTCAGTTTGAAAATGACTGCCATTTATGTTTGTGTTCTGAGCATTAAATCAAGTGACCCACTTTTTTTCGTTGCCTGACCTGGCTTTTCAACCTTCAGTTTCTGTAAAATGCTCTGTACGCGTAGAATTAATATTTCTGTATTCACAATTCAATTGACAAGAGACACAGCCACCTGCTCCTTTCCTTTAAAGCCTCGAAAAGACAAATTGCTTAATGAGGGCCTAATTGTTTTTATTTCACCGTGCTCAGTTTTCGAAAGTCATTAATTAACCTGCATGCCGGTATTTCTGTGCCTGTCGTTTGACAAAGCTTGCACAAAGAGGCATGGTTCCTTTGCTTCTTAGAGACAGCCTGCAACTCAAGCAAAACCATTTTTAGTTTTGTTGATATCAATTTTTCCAGTTGATGTAATATTTACGTATGTTTTTTTATGATTACATAACACAAGTTTCCTGACCCTGCTGTCTGTATCAAAGTATCTACGAACTATTAATTAAATGTGCAAAATAAACAGAATGCCTTTAAAATACAGAAACCTTGCCCTCGTTACGCAATAAGTAGAATCTAGGCCATTTTGTAATTTAGAGAAACCATCCAGAACATCAATAGACAATCGATTATGTTCAACTCTGACGTGGCCTATTTATTTTTGCTATTGTTAGAGTCCGTCATAGATTAGCCTAAAATCTTCTTCTGCTCAAGAACTGCAATCTCAGTCTTCTTATGCTTGTTTACTGTCAACTTCATTACTTATTCTGGTTTTGGTCCAGTTATTTGTAAATTGCTACTGATCACAGCAAACAAAACTCCGCTTAACAGAAATTCGACGTTTAAGCAGATCGTCACCATGACGAATCGTTTATCTCTAGCTCAAACCTGAGTTTTATTGTATTTTTACGTGTGAAAAACACACGATCAGCATGAAAGGCAAATGACATGCCCTCCTTCTTTGTTTTCCTTTTCTCCTTTTGACGGCACAAGTGTCAACAAATACCAAGTTTAGATTACGCTTCAGAGTTATTCAATCGTATCTTGCGTGACTGCTTCTCTCTCTTCCCGGATAATTTAGTGCGACTCAAAGCAAAAATCGAAGCCACTTTTAGCACCGATGATAACAATCATGACAACATCAAGCACTCCACATTGTTATTTCTACGGCTTTCAATTTGTTCTCAGTATGTTTGAAGACGCAAGGTTTGTAAACTGGAAGCTTGTGCAACAATCTAAAGATATCTTTTCGGCGTAATTGCTTCCAAGACTATAGAAATATACATATGCTTTGAAATGGTTTTCAGTCATTTTCTTGCTTCCACATGTACTAGGAAATTTCATTTTTCCAAAACAATATTTTGCCGATTCAAAAGGGTCTTTCAGCAAACTATACAAACGAACACGATAAACATGTGATCATTTGGCATTTTGTTATTAAGCATCGGAAATCAGTAGGTGAAAACTGATGTGTTAGTTTGATTGGAACTTAGGACAATTTGCGAATCAATATACGAGAACCCATAACTTGCATCTCTGTTCATTTCTGTTCTGCAATGAAGAATTCATTGTTTATCAAAATGTAGGGAAACAATTGTGAGATGTTGTCAACTTTCCAAAAGGAATTTACTAGTGACCGCACTATATCTTATGGCAAACAAACTCCTACCCGGGAAAACCTTATGTTTATTTATTCCGTTCTTATTTTGTAGATGAGAGAGAGCACCTCATCAAGAGAGCCACTGGACAGCTCATCTGATCACGATAGGAGTTTCGAGAGGACTCGGGGAAGTTATATCGCGTGCATCAATCGTTCGCTTGAGCATGCGTTCGAGTTTCTGTCCGAAACAGGTTATGCCTCTGGAGGTCTGTCTGATGCAGAAAGAATAGAGAGCAGATGTAGCGATGATACCGAGCATGTAAAAGGACAAAATGGCCATTGTGATAATGATTCAAAAATAAACTCACGGCAGTTGGGGTACACTGATATCAAGCCTTCGATATGCGATGAAGTAATAACGGAGTACATTCCCGGCAGGCTTTGGGGCATCAGCGATAAGGCTGTTCAGAAACAGAACAGGACCGAGTTCCATAATAACAGGAACAACATGCTTAGAACTGCGTCAGAAGAGAAGTTGATTACTACTAAAGGAGAGAAAAAGATCATTTTGTATCAACATGTGAATGGGGAGAATTCTAGAACACGTCGCAGGCATGTGAGCAAAAGTATGGAAAATATAGGGCCCAAACGTGGCCCAAAAGACAGCGAAATTGACGTGTTGAGGCGGTTGGAAGGCCGGAGAAACAGTGCGGGCACTGGAAAACAGCAAGAAAGTGTTAGGCCAAGTCAGAACAACAAAGAGAACTCAGTCCCGGGAAAGAAACTTCATGAACGGGAAGATTCGGGTTATGAAAGCAAAGCTGAGTCTCGTAATGGTGTGTTGAACAATAGAGTTAGGAATGACTCAAGGCGAGGAAGGTATCACAGTCAAATTTTTGAAAGTAATCGACGAGAAAGTACACCGTATCTTACAACCGAGAGAGAAATTTTGAAGCAGATACTTACCAATGCGAAGGAATCTGAACAACTTCAACAGAAACACCGGAGGAGCAGCAAAAGTTTAAGCAACCTCGACTTGAGAAGAGCCGCGTCGAAAATAAGTCTGGGTCCGACTCAAAGACAGCGAACGCCTGTGAAAAGTCCTGCGAGTGAACAGAAAGGCTTCAAAAAGTTTCGGGAAAGTTTCAGAAAGACTACAAGTTATTTTATGCCTCATAAGTTTACAGTGCAAGAAGAAAAAGGCGCCGGGAACGATTTTGCGAACGCTTTAGAATTTCAATATCATTGCATGCACGAATCACGTGATGGTAATGAGCCAATCACAAGCTCGATAAACCTTACAGGGAAGAAGAAAGGATTCTTCCGAAGCATTTTCGAACGGAAAAAACAAAAGCAGCCGAATAGTAAACATAGAATGCGCAGCTTCAGGTCAAGTGAATCAATAAACCAGTCCCGTTGGCATTCTAGGGAAAACCTGTCGAAAAAGGCAGAACGCCCTAAATCGATTTCTATGCTTATAGACAAGGTAAAAGAACCTGTTGACGAATCTACCACCGATTTGAGGGACATTAAGAATAACGAGGAAGATTTACGTGTCACGAAGAGAAGTTCTGTTAGTCACGGAAGTAGGTTTCGCCGTTCGGAAAGTCTGCGTTCAATACCATCTACATCGCAGTTTTCAGATCATATATCAACTGAGATCGCGGGGGAGAACCCAGTCAGGACTAGGAGAACCAGCCGTAATCGACCAATGAGTGTACATGGCATGATACTTCGGACCTGCTCATATGGATCAAATGATAACAAAACTGAAGCTGAGGAGGTTGAAGATTTGCATAGAGTCCTTAAAAACAGATTATCCCTCTGCTCGATAAACGAGAACATTTTCCAAAACGGTCTCGATCGAAATGGGGGCCTCGATTTCACCGGCAATCGTGAGCCAATATTTACGTCATCTAGCCCTAGAAAAAATGATGACATCACAGAATGGATCCGAGGTTTGCAGTTTTCGTCATCATCGTCAAACTTTCGAAAGCTCGATAACTTTGAGGTTCACAGAACTGATCGCATCGTGGAAGAACAAGAACGAGATGATGACTGTAGTATAGATGATCATAGGCCGTTTTTTCACGAGACGCGTATTGTTAATGGTCAGATTCAAACGTATTTATGATTTACTCGAATTGTAAACTGTTATCACTCGTGATTGATAGCTCTTTGCATGAAAGACAGCGAATCGTCTTTTAGACTAATTTGTTTATCTAGCATACATCAATTCGCAGGTTGAAGAATTATGGTATGTTGATGACCCTACTGAATCGAATTTTAAATAAGACTTATCCACATCTATTGCCATAGCAACACCTACAGGTACCCTCGTGCTCCTTCCAGGCTGGCCATCGAGATATTCTTTACAAAAAGCAATAATTTTTAATGATTTCGATTTCGGCCTAAGCCAAACGCAGGATCCTACGCGATTTTCCGTTTGTTGATGTTGTTGAAACTGGCAATCATAAGTCTGATATCACAGCTCGCAGACAGTCCTTCTAAATCTTGAACGTTTTTTAGCTTGAAGTAAATTTTCTATCTTTGAAAAATCTCATCGCATCCTTAAGTATATTAGGATATTTGTAGAATTTGATCTTGTTTGTTAGAAGTATTTGTTACCCGTTAGTCAAGCAGCAAAAATGATTCAGGAAATTGGATTTAATTTTTGAGAGGTGATGGAAACGGTGAATTTCCAGATTTAGAACCCTCTTTAAGATACGTAAGACACAGGGTTTTTTTAATTAAAAATTTTGTTACAATATGCGAACCTCACAGAGACCCCCTCCTAATCGAATCGCGCATAACCCCCTCCTATTCAGGGCATACGCAACTGAACGAACAGCAATAGATATTTCACAGTAGAAACAACGTTATCTTTCTTGATCATGCTCTAAAACCTCCTCCACATACTTTGGTTCTTCGAGGAAGTGAATTTTTCATATATCAAAAGGTTTTTAATTGAACGAAGTCTTATTTTACCAGCCTATGCAATTGCCTCTTCTCTTTGTCGATGATCGCCACGCCATGTCCAGCTGTTTTAGACATGAGTTGTATACATGCATATACGTCATTGATAAGTCTTGTTTCGCCTATTGTCAGCTACAGTTTTCTGTGAACCTTGTTTTGCGAATGGAGTAGGAATGTAGCTCCTATACAGAACAAGTAAATTTGCATCTCTGCTTCACTTTTAACTCAAAACACTGGTTGATTATATCATTAATCATAGTGATTAAACAAACAACATTGAAGATCTGAAAATTATGTGAATTAACAGAGGTAGAGGAGGGAACTTTTGGGGATTTCTGATTTTACTCCTTCCTCGAAAACTCTTGGCATGAAATGTAGATGACGTGAATGACACTGTAAAAACCGGTATGAACAGAGGCATATGTCCACTTTTATCTTTTACTTAACAACCCACTATATGGATAAAGTTGAAGCGTTGGTGATGTTTGTAAAGTGATGTTTGTAAATCATGTGATCATTTCAAGGGTCGTTTAGCAGATTTTTCGTGAAAATTTTTTATTATGCACTAACTGGCTGCATTTTAATAAGTATTGGCTTCTTAGTAGAAATTATTAATATGTAAATAACATAGATTTATTGGAAAGAAATTTATCAGTTTGACTGACGAAAAATGGAGAATTTATCAGTTTGTTTCAATTCTTCTGTTTTTTGAGGACTCAGAACTCCGGTTCTTTAAGATTATTTACGGGGGGGGGGGATGGGGTGGCAGAAAGTTTTGTAATGTATAAGGCTGCATAGATCAAAGGGGTGTTTCTGTTTCAGTTGTATCAGAGGGGATCGTTTTGTGACTAACAGACATATGACGATAATACACATCTTCAATAGGTTTTCTACAAGGCTTTCTAGGTGTAGACGCAATTGAAGTAATGTAGTTCAGTGCTGAAATTGTCCAAACATGGTATCAAGTAATCCTCAGCCACCATCGACTAAATGAACATATAGAACAACATAGGGAGGTTGGACTTTATCAAACCTAGTCAAGTCTTGTTGCAAAACCTGCATGGCTTGATGAGAACCTAAGCAGGAATTTCACTGTAAAGACGATCTTAAGTGTTTCGGGGAGCAGTGTATGTGACACCATGTTCGTGTTTCACTAGATATCGAGGAACCTCGCAGAAAAAAAGTTAATCTCTTACCATCTATGTTTAAAAAAGCAATAAAACATGTCTCATTTCCTTCGTAAACGGAAAGAATCGTATTGATGTGGCTGGCTCTTTGTGAATACAGTGAAAAGTATGGCAGAAGTTCCAAAGTCAAGAAAAGGAGTAACGAATGATCCTCGATGTACTCTATGTTATGATATGCAAACAGAATCCTCAGGAAAATAGTCATTAACAAGTGCTATCGATTTTAGACACTGTCGAGTCCTGCGAGCACAAAGTAGACTTTTTTCAAGATACTTTCTTAAGTCTTTGCGAATTGATTGTGTTTTCTTATGAAATCATACCATTTTAGAAGTCGTAAAGAAGGGAATTTTGTCCTAGCAAAGAAATTAGACCTTAGGATACCTAGGATATCTTTTAGGCAACTAAAAAGTTTTTGCATTTTTCAGTTCTGCTATAAGTAGTTTATAAAAGAGCACGGAATGGAAAGCAACTGAATGGACAGTCTCCCCAACTGCGAAGGGTTTAGGCGAGGCTTCAGGTATCTTTGGTCCAGAGTGTCGTGAAGGGGTAATGGAGAAGGAGTGCACTCTTCCGCAATGCTTCTTCTCCAAAGTCCCTTTGACTCGACGTTGTGGAGCCGAGAGTAGACTTTAGGCAAACATAATTCTATTCCACAAAATTTGTTGTTCCCACAAAATTGCCTCGTGAACTTTATCCAGCCTTGATGCCTCTGGGACATTCATTGTAGGTCTCTGTCCCCCTGGGACTAAAGTTTGGCGCCATTGCCGCTGTACACATTGCTAATGCGAATTTGTTTTTACTGGTTAGGCCTTGACAGGACAAAAAGTCTGTAAGTTTTATCGTTCATTTTCTACTTTTTTTGTTTAGATAATTAATAATTGTAGTTTGCGTAGCTTCTCTTTTAAGGCCTTACTTAACTTTATCTTGAAAATAACTTCTTTATATTGACTTTGCTAGCCTTAACATTCACCAAATTTGGGTAGATAGCTCTCAGTAATATTGTAGTCTGTATTTACTCTTCATTTTACTTTTTGCATTACAGAGTTCTAATATCGATAATTTTCATTTGTAAACAAAACTTGATGCTGAAGCTCATTCGTATTTAATCTGTGCTTTCGGGTTTTGGGGATTCGTGTGCGTTCGAGTCTATCAAACCAGAGCTGCGAAATTTGACGCGTCACAATCATGTTCAAGATTCGGCTTCATATTCAATACTTAAAAATCATTTTTTACAATTATCAGTGCTCTTTTTCATCGACAGACATGTGAATATGAAAATTTGAAAGTGATATGAATGTACAGTTACTTATTTGAGCTAAATATTACCCTAAAGCCTAGCATAAAGTAAATCCATGGATACTATATTTAGGGCTATCCTCAAGCAATAAAAGTTTCTTATGAAATATAGATTATAGATTCTACTAGATGTGGATGTTAGATCGTCTCAAAATTCGATAAATTTGAAAAGCAATTAATATTCTTTTGAGGCATGCATGCCGGGTTGCGCAAGAGCCTTTAAGATATCTGCATTTCGCAGAGTCTCAAGTCACTCTTTGCTTGGTTACTTGAATAGCAATATAAGTGACAGCGTGGAGTGAGAAGTGACAAAATATGTCCAGTCCCCATATGTGACAGATTGTCGCCTATGCTTGGCCGTGATAGAATATGTTCTGCGCCTAAAATTAACAAATTTGGTCTTATTCCTAGAATTGTCTCAATATGTCCAGTAGGTAGAATTGACAGAATGAGTATGAGTGACAGAATGAGTATGAGTTGACGGAATTTGTCCTGAGTGTTAGAGGATATTGTCACTAATATGTCACTAAAATTAAAAGAATATGTCCTGTCGCTGGAAATGACAGAATGTGTCTTTTAGCTAGAAGTGATATAATATATCCGGTCCCTAGAAGTGCCAGATTTTTCTTCTCCCTAGTATGTGCCAAGACTTTCAGGTCCCTAACAGTCCTATCATATTTCAACGCTGAAGTTCTTTGGGGGTAATCCTTGCAAGAATTGTAATGAATTTCCGTTTCTTTTGCACATTTTTCCACCAGATAAAGAATCAAACGTTTTTGAAAATAATATTTCTGAACGTGTAAACAGAAAACGTTATTTTTCGATTTAGACATTTAACATCAGGATTCTTCCTTAGCAGTTTCAATCGCCTGAAAAAGTTCTTTTGACTCAGAAGTATAAAACTTGCGTAAAACTTTCAATTTTACGCTCTGAAGATTTGTCTTCTCTATACTAAATTTAATCAGTAATGTTAGTTCTGTCTTTTGTACAACTTCCTGTCTTTAGTCCTGTCTTTAAATGTAATTTCACACATTTGCTAATTAACCTGCATTTATACGTTATTATTCGTTGTTATTCTTTTTCTTCATTTCCAAGCTCCTCTATGATGTGCTTTTCTGCCAAATTCATAGCAGCTTTACATTGCAAGAATAGTTTTGAATAACTGTTTTTAAGTTACTTTTATAGTGTCGGTAAAAGGCTCGTCACAAAAAAGTTCAGGACCCTCGTCACACCAACTTTCGTTTTTTCAAGAGTGTTTCTTTGTGTGAATCCAGAAAAAATGACACTGTGGGTATATAGATGTCATGCAGCCTTGGTATCCGTTGTAAGTATAGATTAATGTGAAAGGGGCGCAGACCATCTCCTTGTGGTGCCCCAACGACTAAATCTCTTTTTTCGTTTCTTTTCCACACATAACCAGCATTTTTTGATCATTCATTGTCTTTTAGACTCTAGAGCTTTGTTGAAATAAAATAGTAGAACAAAAATATTTTGGTTTAGCTTTGCTTCTTTCTTTGACAGTGATCGTTGCCTTGGTTTTGTTTTTCATACAAGTAAATTAACTAAAAGAAAATATTGGACTTTCGAAAAAATTTTGTGCAGAGGTTTATTTGCTAGGAAAAGATATTTTGAAGTACCAGGCACGTAAATGATAAGGGGATGGATGGGGGCGTGACGCTTTCTCAAAGTTTGGAAAATGCAATTACAGTTGGAAAACTTAACAGATTTCTTGGATTTCTTTTCTTAAGACAAAACTTGTGAATTTCATATTTTAGGAATTGTGGGCTTTTAAATGTAAAAATATTTAATCTTATTAAAATTTACAGGGTAGAGCGGACCCATCCAGTAATCGTTTTCTATTTTGAAGCCCTGTATCCACTGGATCTTAAATTGCACCATTGCACCGTTTATTTTCTTTTTGATGAGAGATAAGTTGAAATAAATTAGGTTGAACAGGCAAGATGAATTTACGGATAAGAAACTTGAAACTTTACAATCAGTATTGAGCCTACAGTTTTGAAAAAAACACCCTGTTTTGATAAGAAAAAATTAAAATGAGATTTCTTTAAGAAGCTACGTATAGTTAATTCAATAGAAATTGAGAACCTTTCAGTACTAAAAATTCAAATCCTTTTCATAAATTGCTTTTTTAAAGCTACTGAGAAGCCAGAAAACATTGCAGAAGCTGCAGCAGAAGTATTTGATCAAAGAAGAGTGTTTTATTTCCGAATCGGGCATATGCACTTGCTCTCAAATCACTCAATTCAATTGTAAGAAAAGAAAGGAAATTTCGTCCCCCTGAAAAATTTTAGAAGTTTCCTTCAATCAAGAACAAATATGAAAGGCCCAATTCACTAATGCTTCTATATCGTTAAAGAGATGTTTTTGTTAAAATTGACCTGCAGCAAATAGCTTTAAAAATGGCAAAGCAGAGAAAGAAGAAGCACTGTTAATTTACTGAAAAAATATTACTTTTTTCACTAGATATATCAAAGATCTAACACGGGTTTACCCTGAGCAACAGAGCCGCAATTTTTGGTTATGCTTAGATGTTACTTTTCTTCTCATGACAAGTTTAGATGTTCTTGTTACGTTAATCCAAATTTAGAGATTTCCCTAATCGTCTTTAGTGTTTTTATACTTAAGGATAATTATCATGAGTAAAATCTTGGTGATAACAAAGACACTAAAAATCTGGAATAAGGGATTTTTCCAAATGTCGATTCGGTTGCTACAGTAGATTGACAGGTCGAAAGAAAAATGCCTCAAGTAACGTTGGAAATTTCACCCTTCCACGACCCCCCAAAATTAGCCACTTGCTTTCGTCCCTGAAAAGTACCAAGAAATTCCATCGATGAACGGATTTTTCCATCAAGAGCAACGTACAATACCATTGAGAATTTCTCAGGTTTAAAAATTAGGCAGTTTTTTCAAACCTTATAATCCATAAGATTCAAATTTCAAATTCAAATTCTAGTTTATGTAATACAGCGACAACAATTTTAGATTACAATTTATTTTGATATTTAATTAGCTGTGTATAAAGTATTAAAATAATTAAAATAACAATGTTTTGTTAGTATAGCTGCCTAGGATGCTGAGAGAATCGATACGATTTTCGAGCCCAGCACCCTATTAAGTAAACAAAAAGAATGGAGTAGGCACAATTAAGGTAGCAAAATTACATAGAATAGGGTTATACAGTATGATATAATAACAAGTTATATATAATAATACTAAATAT